GCATAAAAAACAAGAGGCCAAATTTTTTGTTCCTAATAATGTACAAGTTTACAGGAGAACTGCGGGATTTTAGATGAGTTGTTTTTAATATATGTAACAATTTTATTCACCGACAGACTCGCAGTCATCTGAAGTATCCAAGCTCATATCTGTATTTTGTGATGGCAATTCCGCATTCGCATTTATAACAGCTGATAACAATTTAATGGCATCTGACGACAGTTTGTGATTTCTTTTTGTGGGTTTGAATGTAAACTTGAAATGAGAGGGTCCAGCAGCCAATGAAAAATATCTGTCATCGTGTTTATCCTGGAAGATTTTCTTGAAAACTTTTCCCGATATTTTTTAATAAATTTATTCCTTGACTCTTGGACTTCTTCGGAAATTTGTCATACAAAATTTTTCTTATTTTTTGTTAATAAAAATATAGTTCATTCAACAACAAAAAACAGAAGAATCCATTTTTTTAACTTTGTTCAGATGTAACCCCTAAAACTGCAAGAAATTATCATCGAATTTTTTTTGCGGAGGCGTCCATGCGTTACATAGAAGAAAATGCGCAACACCTTTCGGAAAAAATATTTCAAAAGTCAACGGTAATTTTTATCGACTTGAAACATACACTTAATTATACTACAATTTAATAGGTCACAAGACTGCACTTCAAAATTTGTTGGCATTTCTTGCATTTTTCCAAGTTTTATATGAAATTAAAAAAAAAATTCTTCTTGTTTTTTCCGATTGTATGAACTGCATATTTTCAACGCTGGCTGTCACGAGACTCATCTGTCCAAGACTCAATAATAGTGGGTGCCTTTAGTGGAAATAATCAAACTGTGAAAAAATTTGTACACACATATCGTGAGTATAGCGTGGAAAGGGCGTAAATAACATCGTCGCTGAAATAAAAAAAAGCCGTAACTAACTAAAAATCCAAAATTCACTTTTTGATTAATTATGATGAATTTTATCGCATTTTATTGCTCCACATCGTTTTGTGCAATAAAAATTTTTAATTAGTTATAACTTTTTTGCATTTCAGCAATGATGTGAAATACGCCCTTTCCATACTACATTATATATATGTAGATGATAATTTCTGCAAAATAAAGCGCCTTAATTTTCGAATCATGCTGCATTTAATAAATTTCTATACAAAAGTGTTAGCAAGTGATAAACGGCAACCTCCATACCCCTCCTGCCTCGCCAGCGCGGCTAATCTAATTCGATAGTCGTAGTGCGTCGATCATGTGCAAGCTGAGGTGAACAGCTTTACGTGGCATTGCTAAGTGATTTGTTATTGTTGTTTAGATATTTGTTTGCTTGTTTGTTTATTTTTTATGCAAACATTAGTTGTTGTACAAACTATGTACATAATATCAACGAAACTGTTACAAACATGCATAGCTAGCTACATCTTTGTTTAAATATATTCATATATGTAAGTGTACGTACTCATATCATATGTATGTACATATGTATGATTTNAAAAATAGCCATAACAAATCAATAAAAGTATGGCTAAATATATCGATAACATATTTATAGCAAAATCGAAAAAATATCGGAAAACAAATTGATATAAAATTCGATAAAAATCCATTAAGATATCGATTACTTAATCGATTATTATATCGACAAAATATACAAAATCGATGGAAATGTTGTTATTAAAGTTAACTTCAGGGATCTGTTGGTAAAGTTACTAAAATTCATTATTATTTTTTTGTATTTATGTAAAGCAAATATTGAGTGGAAAAACGATATGTTGTTAAAAAATTTAAGGAATTTTGTTGGAACAAAGTAGTGTTGGGAAGTATCGAGTACTTTTTTGAGGTATCGATACTTTTAAGGATCGGGTATTTTTCAGAGTACTTAGTACTTTCTTTAAATATACACACGTTGGTAACATTTCCATACTTAGTGTAGAAATCTCACAAGGTGGTAGTTTTTTATTAAAATTAGTATATGAACCCCTAGTTTTCTAATGAATGGATAACTGTACTGGGTACAAGTATTGTACTTGAAAATTATTGAAAAATGCAAATTGAGTACAGTCATTTCTGAATACCGTTAAATGTAAATAAAAATCGGTATGTAATTTTTAAGTTTATTCGAAACTTAATACTGAGTACTTTGAATTGATCCTGAGTACATGTATCGAAGCGATTATTAGAATAGAGTATTTTTGAATACTGAAAACTTTCGAGTTCCTTTTTTAAATACTGAGTACTTTCGAGATCTTTTGTGAGTACTGAGTACTTTGGAGTACTCAGTATCGATACTTTTAAAAATCGGGTGCTGTCGATCCTTTTGAGAATCGAGTTCTGAGTACATTTGGTATCGATATTGCCCAACACTACAACAAAGATATGACCATAGGGAAAATAGGGATTTATTTTTTCATCTACGTATGTACGTCCATCTTGCTTTACAAAATAGATAACTTTGTCTTACTATGCACACACAAAAAAAAAAAAAACAGAGTTTATCACTTGAACAAACTCTGATCAAACAATGACTGGCAACTATTTGTATTGCCCATAACATATTAAGCTGATAAGACTTTATCATAAAAGTTCTATAGTACGTTAATGTTTCTATGCAAAGTAATTAGTGACATTTTTGATAGGTCTTGTCAATTAGTATAATCAATCCAACTCCGAAAAGTATTGCATCAAGCAATCAATTTGATTCGTATTTTGGTTTTTCTTTTCGACTAAACACAGCATTTATTTGGCTCACCTAAAAGTGCAAAAAATACTGTTTTTCGTCATATATGAGGTTATGTAGCAAACAAAAAAATTTTTTTTTTCACAGACAATTATTCAAAGTAGCTTAAAAAACAAATCTTCCTCTTTTGATTGCAGTTGAGTTTGCCGAGATATCCCATTTTGTGAAAAATGTGGGGTTCAAATGGTTAATGAATTTTCGACAATTCAGTGATTCATAAATAATAAAATTTCAAAATGCGATTATTGGGCGAAAAAAAACACATTTTTTTAAGATACTTTGACCAGGTGGGACATTCTATAACCACTTAGCGACAATCTCCCACCAGTTTTTGTAAAAAAAATTTATTTTATCAAATAGCAAAGTCATACACATATTTGAATGCTAATTAGGCCTGAATTTTGCTCAAATTTTGATAATGTCTTACAAATGAACAGATATGCGGCTTTGTGCCGCTTTTTCATACCAGAAATGCTTGTCATTTACCAAAGTGGGGGCGGCCCCCATCATTATGATTTATTTAGTGACATTTTTATCATTTTTTTTTTTATTCATATCAGCAATACAGCTCTAATTTGGCTTCTATTGCTTACCAACCAACAATTTTCCTTAATGAGGTTAATGAATTGTTGGTCTCTGCATGCGCACACATACATACNTTTTTTTTTTTTTTTTGGTAATTTATTTTAATAGTATCTAATTATACTTCGTTGCCAGCATAAACAAATTTGGAAATTCTCTGCTACTATGCTACCACCAAATTAAGGGTATAAGGGGTAGCTGTAAATATTTCTCCATTTCTAAATTGCTGGCTTTTTTCTTGTACGGTCGCTTTCTTGTCTACCCATCGTTTGGCTATTCACACCACTACAAAAACTGGAAACAGTATCAGAGCNTTAAGGGTATAAGGGGTAGCTGTAAATATTTCTCCATTTCTAAATTGCTGGCTTTTTTCTTGTACGATCGCTTTCTTGTCTACCCATCGTTTGGCTATTCACACCACTACAAAAACTGGAAACAGTATCAGAGCCGTTGGCGATTTCCTCAAAGCATTGCCATCTTGGTGAGCTCGCTGTTTAATAGAAGCTTTCACTAGAGGTCAGACTTTTTCATAGATATGATTCAATTGGTTTCTCAAACTTAACTGAAATTGAGGTAGTGTCGAATTTACATTGATTATTGGGCTAAATTGTGATAATTGTTGATCAACTTCAAAGCCCAATATCTCAAGAACTATCGTTATTAGCGATTTGATGTTGCAGAAGTTTTTTGCAGCAAATTAAATGGTCTACAACTTTGTGATTTGCAATTTTCCTATACCTCTTGTTGTTTACGAGAACAAGAATTTCATGAAAACATTTAGTGACCCGTAAAAACTCGCTGGTGGGAATTTGAGTTACGCCGCAATGGACACTTTTGTAGAACGTTCAATTCTGAAGCAAACTCATCATTGACCGTGAATTTTGAAGAAAAACAATCAAAGTTTACGTGAATTTTATATGGGAAATCTTTGCACGGCTTGGGCGAGTACTTAATGTTAATATTAAGGGTTAAAATTTTCAAGGAGTTTTTTTTAGGTGTTTTCCACAAAATTTCTAGGTAGGTGTGAAAAATAAACAATAGTCGCAAAAAAGCACCCTAATGTACATACTACCTTCATACATATGTATATGAATATTTTAATATATGTAGGTAAGCGTTTGAGTTATGCCTACAAACAATAGTAGAAGTACCAAGTACATTAGGGTGGTCCAAAAATGCATGTGAAAAAGTAAAGGCGGAATTTTTATGTTCTCACTCAAAACATATTTAGAGGTCGCTCAAAGCACCCAAAGTTTTCCATGTATTTTATATGGGGGAAAAAACAACTTTTCGTAGAAATTGTATAGGATTCTTAAAAGCTAATATTTTTCTATCGCAAACTCTGGTTATCTGCAGCAGATTCTCAGTTATAATACCAAATTGTTTATTTAACCATTTTCTTATCGCATCGCACAAAAACCCCGAAGAATGTGAAAGGGGGACCAATAAGAAAAAGTTAGTATTAAAAGAATGGTTAAATAAAAATATTGATTAATAAAAAGCAGGGGTGAGAGCATTACAATTCCGACTTTACTATTTTTGGACCACCCTAATGTGAATACATATATGGGCCGAAAGATGCGGTCAGTGTGTTAAGTCATGTGGACTGCACGGCGCGTCGAATTATAAACATGTATGTACATACAAGTGTTTGCAATATGTACATACGTACATATGTGCACAGTGGTCTTGAATCAATGATAGGTATGACTAAAATGCCAACCAAAACTGCTTGCATACCTGTTTTGGAAGGCACCCATACACCAATATGCAGTTGGAATTAAAATCATATCTGCTCCTATGCCTAAAATATTGTCAAATGAAAATTTGGAAAAAATTTAACTGCAATTGTTAGTATTTCTTGTTCAACAGAGTATTCTAAAGTTATCGTTTTGTATATTAGTGTAAAAGAAAAACAGATAGTATTTTTCTCGATGATAATATTTCTGGTGTAAGCTATTTGATTGCACATCATGTCTTCTATAAGTCATCCGCAACATAAGTGTAATCACGAAGAGAACAGATTTAAAGTGTGCGCGCCTTGTGGGAGAAAGATTAAATTCGGATCGTCAAAACCTTCAGAATTTAATATAACCGGAAAATTGGTGTGTCTTATTAAAAAATACGTTAGTGAAAATTTTAGATTGACCAATTCGAAGTTCCCATTAGGCATTTGTGGTACATGTCGTAGGGTTCTCTGTGACCGAGATATGGATATACCAAATGCAACGCGGCCTCTTCCAAACATGCCTAACTATGAAGATTCAACAAAAGAAACAAGAACAAGTTCATGCTCTTGTTATATCTGGCTCACTGCTCGGGCAACCAGCCATCCAAAAGTTGTACAAGGGAGAGCACATACCTTAAATGTATTGAGTGAAAAAAACTCGCTAAAGCCTTCCGAAGCACAGAAATGTCGGAAACATTAAAAATTCACGTGCTTCTAAATCATTTGGAACATAGTCTGCATTTTTTAGGCAACGACGGCTTCGGAATGTGGTCGGAGCAAGCTGGAGAATCCATTCATGGCGTATTTTTAAGATTTTGGCTCAATTATAAAGTTAATTCGATTGACGACCCTAAATATATAATCAATTAAAAAAAAAAACTGTCGTTGAATTTTCATCAAACCACATATGAATTTATATAAAATAATATTTTATATTGACTTTGTAAATTTATAAAATTTATGCAATAAGAATTATTAAAATATGCAATTATGTAATATTATCTCTTGAATAACTAAGTTAAAATATTTTATGCTTATAACGTAAGAAAGTGTTATAATTATATTACCATAGACCTTCGCGATTATATAACTGGATTTGGAAAGTTCTAGATCAACATTTTATAATATTTTAAGCATAGGAGCAGATGGAATTTTATTTTCAACGAAATTTTGATCTATGATTATGTACAAAGACAGTTATGTAAGCCGTTTTGGTTGGCATTTTAGTCATAGCTATGGTTGCTTCAAGACCACTGTGTGTGTCATACACGAGGAAAACAAAGGAATAAATACAACTGAATACATGATTAATATCACTTATGGTGAAATGATTAATATCAGAAAGTCATTTCCATTTGTTGGAAGAACGCGACGGCTTGATGCGAGGAACGAATGATAAACGCCCGCCTCATAGGTGTATAGTGTACACGCAGTTCAACAGCGTATCAAATTGACAGGATCGAAAATTACATTTTAATTTTTTTTCTCCAAAGTATGCTAGTTTTTCAGGACAATTCAAGTAATCCTTGAAATTTTTTCAGTCGCTTTGAAGATAGACTTTTGGTCTTTTTAAAAAAAGTACAAAAAGAAAAATTTATAAAAAAGTAAAAAAAAATTTTAATTTTTTTATAACTTCACAAATCTCGTATGAAAGAATAAATACAATGAGTAATTAAAGATAACATGCATTTTAATATCTTAATAACTGTGGAAGTTATGATTTTTTCTTTGAAAGAGTACCAAAAACTTTAAATATAATTTTTTTGCAAAATGGATATGTGCTTGATATGTACATATGCATGCAGATACTCTCGCTTTTAATTACGTGTACTACATTTTTTATTGCAAGGACCGAAAAAAATATAATAAATACAATTAAAGAAATTTATTTTTATATATTTTTTTTTATATATATATTATATTTATTGCATTATCGTAATTTTTTGATTTGTACTTTTTTCGCTGAATTTTGATAGTTAGTTTGTGATTTTTCCTTTCTTCGATCATTTTTAAACTTTATAATGGAGGCTGATCTAAAAACATAAATCTGAAAATATAGTTTTGATCGAAAAAACGGAAAGGCAATTTTAAAGAATAAATTATGTTTTATTGTAAATATCAAACCCGTTAGGTCCCTGTTTTTTTCATAGAGGATTGACTGACTACTTTCAAGCCATTAGGTATTGTGAATTTTGAATTTTTCCAAAGCGAATAAATACGAAATAGTCCTCTTCTTGTTCACTCAAAAATGCGTATTTTTCGGCTTTGTGTTATTTTTTTTTTTGTTCTTTCTCAATGATTTTTTTATGGTGGCGCTATTTTTCGCATATTGGTGTTGTTCGCTTTCGTCTTCATTTGTATGCTTTTCATTCAACTATTCGTATTACTATGGTTTCGTACGAAATTCGTTGGTTTCTATTTTTTGCTTTTATCTTGCGGCGCGTGTTTGTACTCGTGCATTATTATTATAATTTTTAAGTTGTTTTGTTTTGCAAAATTTAGAGGTCGCTGTCGGGTATGCCAGCCAAGTTCTGGTTCAAAGTGTCAGCGTCTTTGTCCTAGGTTAGTGTGGGAGTGCAGTTTTTTAATGTATGAATGTAGTCTCATATATGTATGTATGTATGTAAGTAGCCAAGAGAAAATCCGGGTCCGGCAGTAAAGATGTGTTTATTCATTTTTTTTATGACACCTTGTAAGATTTGCAAGAAACCAATTGAGCCAGATTTTTTAAAAATAGCAAATTTTTGTTTGGATTTTTTTTTTTGTTTTGGGAAACCTTAAATTGCAACAGGAGAATCGATTTTCTCCAAAATTCCTAATTTTTCCGCACTTTGCACCGAAAAACCGAATACAAGGAATTGAAATTTCAAAAATCGGGCTCAACTGGTCTCTTGAAAATTTTATAAGCTTCCATTAAAAAAGATAATCAAATTGAATGAAAAATGAAGGCTCATTTACAGTGAAGTTTAGTGAATGACAGTGTTGAACCACTAAAATTTACCGATCTATAAAATTGCGCACCAAAATTTTTCTAAAAACTAAAAAACTTAAATTTTTGTAATATTTAAAAATTTTCTTATGATTTTTTTTCGCTTTTGGGGAACCCTACAATTGCTTTCAACTAGTTTTTATTATGTAACATTTATTGCCAGTTATCCATCATTCACTTGTTTTAATTTTTTTTTTAACTTTAGTCTTATGTATTTGTTATATGTAGTCCATAATGAGCTCTATTCTTAGACTAATAAAAAACTGAATATGTATGTATGTATGTATATGCCCTTGTTTTCAGCTGAAGTTTGAAATGTGTGCCAGACTTTAAAAAAAAAAAAAAAAAAAAATATAAACTTTGAAATGTCACTTAACTTAATCAGCTGACGCAAAATATCACAAGTAGTCAAAAAGTGAGAGATGAAGTATTTTTCCTTTCCCTGTAACCATTATTCTTGCACACACAGTACTCAAAACACAAAGATGCAAATTTTAATTAATTCGTATCATTTACCAACGCCTTGTCATCTTTAATATCTGTACGGTGATGTAAGGGCAGCTGCATGCGCATCTACATACATACAAAGTCCCCAAACGTCCGACTGAGAAGCCTTATTCGTAGTTTATTTATTTTTTTTTTAACGTCATTAACGCTACATTCGGTTCAAATATGTATGTGTAAACACTGGGGCATAACAAAAGTGTAAGAAAACAACAACAACAAAAACGGATGTGTATAAACAAGTGCTGAACTAACACTGAAAACATATTTGAAATCAACTTGGCCCTCCCATTGAACACACTCGACATTTGGAAATTGTCAAGACGTTTGCTACGCATCACAGATCGATGTAAATATGTACTACATATACATACATACAGTACAAATGCATAATAATGCTGCAATATAATCGATTGTACTATCGATTTTTTCCATTATCGATTTTTTTTTTTTTGTTTCTGACGTCTACATATCAATGGTCCGCTGCAATAACGACCCAACTCAACACTTAAAAGATAAAAAAATAAATCCTTACTAAATATTTTAATTACTCCGTTTACACAGTCGGTTTATTAGCTGTCAATTTCGTTTTGCTTGCTCTGTGCAACTCTGCTAATTTTTCTCTGCTAAATTTAGCAATTTAAATATATTTTAACTTAATATTTTATTANAAAAAAATAAATCCTTACTAAATATTTTAATTACTCCGTTTACACAGTCGAATCTCGGTTTATTAGCTGTCAATTTCGTTTTGCTTGCTCTGTGCAACTGTGCTAATTTTTCTCTGCTAAATTTAGCAATTTAAATATATTTTAACTTAATATTTTATTAAAAAAACTGCCTTAAAATCTTGTTCTTGCTAGCGTCCATTTTTTTTTTTATTGCATATTTAACATTTCTCCTCTTCTTCGCAAAAATTCTCGCTAAAACTACGTTGGACACCGAAAAGTTATCGATTTAATCTGAGATTATTTCATAATTGCATGGTATTGAGGGAGGATTTTTTATATGGCTTATCTGTTTTTTTTTTAGTACAGATTAGGGAGTTAAGCTCGAAAATAAGGATAAACTCTACTTAGGTCAACGTACTTTAATCATTGTCTAATCCATGTCGAGTAAGTAAGGATTAGACATGAATTTGAGAGATGAAGTCCTTAAAAGTCCTTAACGATTTTTTTTTATTAGTTTTGTGTTGTGTCGTTACTGCTGACGACCATTGATATGTACGTACTTTTGTCATGTTTTTCGAAACAACCACGAATGGATATTGTCTTTATTTGCTTTTCTTTGATGTCCATAATAATTGGCTTGATGACTTGACTTCTAGCGTTCTCCAAAGCATTTTGAAATTTATGGCTTTTATCTTTTTTGGCTTCGCTATCGACAAAAACTATCTATGAAGCCAGCCGGTGCAGGCCGTAGGGCCTGGACTCGATTCCTAGTCAGATCAACTTCTAAAATTATAAAAAGTTTTTTTCTAACGTCGGTTACCACTCGGCAGGCAATGGCATAAAACTCTAGGTCCCACTATTTGTCTATATCGATAGTAACGGGGCAAATCTTCACTTCCCTCTTAGGGAACATGCATCGGTATTTCAAGCCGAGATATTTGCAATCTTCAGGGTTATGGACTACATTGTGGAAGATAAGTAGACAAGCAGGAGTTTACGTGTGCATAGTGACCTGCCACTGCCAGACTTCCGAGCGTACTTCTGCCAAAAAAAAAGCTTCTCATAAAACCATTTGTTTTGCGAGGCGGCATAAAATTGTAAATCCCTCCATTTGCGTTACAACATCTGGACGCACATCACAAATTGGAAGAGAAACACGGCCATACACTACAGTAAAAGTGCACTCGGTAAATTTTATTTAAGTGAAACTTCTTTAGCGGCGGTTGGTTGGTNGTTTAAGTCGAAAATCATACTTTCGAGAAAACCTTAATTAGAGGTTTGAAGCTCTTTTTGAAAAAAATAATTAGAAAGTGCATTGAAAAATTTTCTTCTTCTAGATTCTTGTGTTAGAAGAAGACACAGGATCACACGGTCATAAACGTCTATGTCAAATTTTGTGTTTTGGTATATATGTACATATGTATTAGGATTCATGTGTGGAGTCTTTCTTCCGCGTTGACCGAGATTTTTATTAATGATGAGCATCACATGATCGGTTAAATGACCGGTGACATTGGCATTTGTACGAAAGGAATCACTACTGTGGTACTAAATAAAATGCTTATAATAACTGAATTATTGTTAAACTGTAGAAAAAAAAATTTGGCATACAAAAATATATGTATATGAAGAAGCTACAACGGTATTAACTGTATAAACAACTTATTTTTTTTAGCTTTTGAATAACAAAAATGGATTGGAAAACACTCTCGAGTAGTGAGAAAAGCCCAAAAATGGAACGTTGGAAACCCAA